TGCTGATGCTTCGGGGTGAATGTTCCGGTCCCCAGGTGGGTACACGTTGCCCAAAGGCGCCGCTCACATGACAGTTTTTGTTGTGTTCTTCCCTTCTTGTGCAAGCGTGGGATCAAACGAATAGCACGGAACTCCTATCGGTTTCCATTTGAAACGGCGGTCTTCTTCTTTTGCTTTAGCCACGGCCTCCCTCCGCCGATGGCCGGCAGATTTTCCCTACAGCATGTGTTTCGTCCCCTCCAATGCTTCTGCTCAGACATGTCGCATGCCAAAGTCGGCACCAAGAGATCAACCTCCTTTTCCAAACCCCACGCCTTTTTTGGATTCGATATTCGCGTCGAGGAGAAGGCCAACAGTCCGCCCTGGGATTCTCATTTTTTTCCGGCGTCCCAAAGTCCGCGGCTGTTTTTTTCCGGGGCCGAAATCCAAAACTCCCAGGCTCTTCCCAGGCTCTTCCCAGGGGCTCCCCAGGGTCCCAGGGCCTCCGAGGGTCCCAGAGGCTCCCGGCATCGGGTCCTCGCGAATCGGAGTTAGGCGGTGGACAAGACCACGTACGTGAAGCTCTTGGGCCTGGAGGGCGCCAGAGCAGAAGCCCAACGCCTCAAGGAGACGCGGCTCGCGCGCGGACGCGCGAAGATCGGGCGGACTTCGGGGGACCCCAAGGGGTTTGAAGCCCGGAAATGGCCCAGGGGATGGCAACCATGGGTGTAAACAAAGGAGGTGGTTGGACCAAAATGGGAGGTTGAACTGAAACTTTCTTGTTGTTTTAAAGTTGGGGTGAAGCAGCTTAAAGAATGCGAAGGACCTAAATTTGACAACCCCTCTACAGCATACGTCTGTACAAGTCCTGGTTCGCTTTGTGGGCTGGCTCTAGTTGCCCAAAGAAGGGCTCGTGTATTTGTCCCTTTCGAGGAGGTTGACCATCGGACCATGGCCGCCAATGTTGATTGCACTGCATTTCGGTGGGGTGTCTGAAGGGCAAAGCAAAGCAGCCTTGCAGGGACCGGAGCAACCCTAGCATGCGCTCGCCCGCAAGCCTTCCCATGGTTTTTGGCACCTGGGAACGGGGGGCAAACCTCCTGAGTTGGGGTACTGAGCAGGTGACCTTGGTTGCTGGATCGGGGTTTCAGCCAAGCAAGTTGCTGTCCGCGGTAATCGCAGGGTTAGTTCCCAATTGGCAACATGTTTCCACGCAGAGGTGCTGTCAGTGAATACGCATGTGCCCTTCCATACAACAAAGAACTCGTCAACGCATCAAGAGAGACGTGCAATGGTCGGCACCGATGTTGTCATGACTGTTCAAGAGATGTCAAGTTCCGGCCTGACTTGTTTGTTTGTTTGGTTGTTTGTTTTTCCCTCAGGCTCATGAGGGTTCCAACTGGGTCCACATATTTGAGGGATATGCCGGTTATGCGGGCCATTTCCAAATGATCGCCGCCTGGGAGTTGCACGGTGGTGCGCAACCCCCCCCCCAAAAAAAAAGAGAAAAGTTTCAGGTTTTTTTGGACACCTCCATCTCGCCCCTATGTCAACCCCCGGATTAAGCAGAACCCCTGGTTGATGAATAGGGGGGTGTCCCCTTTTAGTGGGGAGTCACTTTTGTGGACACCCCCCTAGTGGGACGGGTGTATTAATCCTGGGTCCACATGAAGAGTTGGGAGAGTCATTGCAGGAGCAGGCCATGAAAGCCTTGGAGGTCTTCGGGGAGCGCGCGGCTCCCCTGCTGGCCATCGCAGAGTACATTGTGGAGCGGAAGAACTGAGACGCTTCTATGCCCCTTTGAGCTTATCTAGGTCCCCCAGTAGTGCCCTTCTCTCCCCTTTTTTGGAGAGAGGCTTTCCCTAGAAAAAAGGGTACCCTTATTCTAACCTCTCTACTGGAGGACCTAGTTATACATCCCGGCCTCGGTTTAGCTCCCTTGCAGCCAGGTTCTCCCAATGAGGGCAAACAGTTTCTCCTTGTGTTAAGCTGTTTGGTCTGGCTGCCGGTGCTGTCAGCCTCGTCTGTGGCACATACTTCCGGCATCTTTCAATGTTGCCACGTGCATCCGGCGAAGCGAAAAGAACACAGGGCCGAGGCTGCCGGAGGCTGCCGGGGAAGACTGCGGGCTGTGGGGTCTCTTTGCACTTGGATCTTGATTCGGGTAGTGTTGTCAGCCAAACACCCAGCATGTATCACTCCCTAGGTTCCTGGACTTCCTACTTTTTGGGAAGACCATTTTAGTGGTAAACAAACCGTTCGGACTTTGTTTGTCCCATCCACTCAGGAAGTGAGGTGTTGCGGGTTGAAAAGGCCGCCGCTTCACCTTTCAGACACTTTTCCAGTGTTGTTCTTGTGGGAACGTGCACTGCATCAATATGTGCATAAGCCCCCAACCAAAGCATCAAGATGGGGTTCAGACATCACTTGCCATGCTATAAACCAGACGTTCAAGGGTCAGCCGTTCTTTCCCCAAGCCGCGTATCACTCGTCCTGCACTCGGGAGCCTGGGTAACTGTGGCCTTGTTCCCCGAGCGAGGCTGTGGGAGGTCCCTGAATGAAGGATTATTAAGGGCGTACCCTAGGCTGATTCAAGGCCAGCAACACAGGCCGCTTTGGAAGGAGGTCCTGCTATTATGTGTGAATTTGGGCATGTTGCAGTTTGAGGATTCGCGCAGGGATTCACACAACCATCAAATGCCCATGCCAACCAGCTTGGCGGAGTGGCGCAAGGCAAGCAGAGAATTGAGAAGCTAATTCGTTGAGGCAGCGTAGAGCTATGCACAATTACTTGGAAAGCAGCTTCATCACTACATCAGTCAGCCTTCCTCCTCTACTTCATGAGCCTGCTCCAGATCCTGACGGAGTCTATGTTGAATCGCTGGAGCGTGCGTCTCTTGGATGCGACCCGCAACTCCAACAAGGAGCCCCCGCCCCCTGGCTCTGGAGGGAAAGTTAGGAATGATGCGCAGGTTGCGCCAGTGGGGAGTTTGGGGCAGCCAGAGTTCTGGTGGAAACCATGCCTCCGGTTTGCATGTCTCCATGGCCGCCAGTGCGGAGTGCGGGGAGTGCGGGGAGTGCCATCTTCCGCCCGCTTAAGCCGGAGAAGCGCCGCGTACACGGCCTCAGTGAGCCGGATCAGTTGAGCCTTCTCCTAACCCATTCAAGGCTCGGGCGAAGCACTCGATCTCATGGAGCAGCACTTGGCATGCCTTGAGGTTCCTGAGCCCTGCACTCCCCCAAGTGCATAGTGAGCTGAGCCGAGCCACGCGTGACATGAGCTTCATCCGGCTCATGCAGACTTGCCCTTGTAACAATCTCGATCCTATTCGGTTAGCCTTTCTGCAGTTGCGAGAGAGCTACGCTGAGGCAAGTATTGGCTGATCCAGATCCCGCAGTTTGTGCACACAAGGTATGCCTAGTTCTGCTTTGTAGCTTTGCCTTGTAGCTACGACCCTCTCAGAGAAGCGTCACGGGCTGATGCTTGTGCTGCAGTTCCCAGTTATCGCAGCTCGCGCGCATCCAGCATTTGTCAATGCCTCTTCGGCTACAGGTTTGGTTTGGCAGCTCTTTCAGCAATTCTCGAAGATGTCCTCCGCGGCATGCCAAGACCTGGGCGAATGGGCCTGAGCTGCCCTGTATGAGAACCCATGTGAAATGTGCCGGGAAATCGACCCTTAAAAAATGGGTCCATGACCCCTTAATTTTGGGTAGTGACCCCCTTTTTTGAAGGGTGATGGAGACTCCAGGTACCCATGTGAAATGTGCCGGGAAATCGCGGCAAGTCGCCAGGTCTGGCATGAGGGTCACATAGTGGGAAACGAGATCTCGCTGTTCGGCAAGCAAGGGTCGATGACTCTGCCCGCAAGCTGAACTTTCGGTTTGCCTGTTTTTGGAGGAAAATTGGTTGTCCACAAACCCCAGCTTCCACCACCCCCCGGCCAGATTCGATGTTCATTAGTTGGGGGGTACGTGTCAGAACTCCTGGTTCCCCTGTAAACATGTCATTGAAAGATTGCCAAGAGCTCATGCACAAATTGGCCCGGAGGGCTGCGATACAAATTCGAGATCTCCGGTGTTCAATGTAGTCGTGAGGATCACCCACTTGGGAAAACCAGTGGCCAGAGGTCGTGTCTTTTTAGGCGACCCTAAATGGATTTCGGTTTTCCGTTAAAGCCGCAATCAAAGGGCAGCAAAAACAAAAATCCACCCCCAGATGTAGTCTGTTTGCCAGGCAGACACAGGTGCTTGGGTTGTGGGAGATGTGTGTTTGGGATGCCATCGGACGGTTGTGCAAGTTCAAGTTGGAATTGTCATTCAGAGGTTGGAGGCATGGAGGTGAGAACCACCACTTTACAAAGCAATTTATACTGCCTTACAAGCTCGCATTGGTAAGACGTCCATACCTGCAAAACTCGCACTCGAAAATTCGCGCCGTTTTTTTCTTTGGCGTCGCGCCGTGTTCTTTGGCGTCGCGGGATTGCACAGCCCATTTTTGGGACCCGTACTGCATGGGAAATTGTATGCCGATTTCGGGAAATCGCCATGTCCTGGCTGACTTGAGGCAGGTACGAACTGGACACCCAAACCAGCCATGCACAAGGGAATTCACCAACCATAGTTGGGGGTTGCGATCACCCAGATTTAAGCTTGAGTCTTTGTAGGTCCGGGTAGGTTTAAGCCCGTACCTTGAGGTTTTCCATTGGAAAGATTGGAGTCGCTGGACTTGAGGATCAGTTGGTACGTGAGGATTGCCGACTGGCCCCTCATGGCTTCAAAGGGGCGGGAAAATCGCCTGGTTCCAGCCAATTTTGCCAAGCTCCAGCGGGCCGGCGGTTTTCAATTCGTGTAGCGAACCGGAAGGTGTGGGACAGATTGTGGGACCATTGGAAGCGACTGGCTGGGGTGTCGCTTCCCTTCCAATGGTTGAGTGGCAACTTTCTTTGTTTTTTGGTTGGTGGGACCATGTGGGACCAGAGCAGGCAGGGTCACTGAACAGGCTTCCATGGATGCGCGATTCCAGCAGCGGAACAGTGCTCAAGGGGCGCCAGTCCTGTGCAATGATACAGGATGGACAGCCGCGCCCTGGCGTACGAGTTCTGGTTCACGAGACGCCCAGATACCCAATTGTTAGAGAGAAGCCACTGGAGTGTAGCTAACTTGCCGTGTAAGCCTCACAGCGAAGATTGGGGCTAATACTGTGGACGAAATTCTGCACCACCCAAGAAACCCTAGAATGATTCGATTCCCCTGCAAATACCAACGAACAATGATTTCTTATTGTTTCAAAGTGGTGCAGGATTGCACACAATGAGATTGCGGCGCGGAAGTTGGGCTTGAAACGGGCTCTATGGGTGGGGGGAATCCTGTGCAAATGCGGGACTGGCCTGTTGGCGCTTCGCTCGCGGTGCGTGGGAAATACTGTGAATCATCATCAAACCCACCCCGGTTTGTAGATCCATGTGTCCAAGGCGAATGCTTTTCACCAGGCGCTTTTACCAGTTGGCCTTGGTCGTTTGAGTCGTTCCATTCGGCTTCCGGGTCAAGAACGGCCCAGCTTCGCAGAGTCAATTCCGGGCCGGAATTCCGGGGACCGGGTGACCCCCCAGGAGAACCCTTTGTGTGCCAGACTCAGCTTGCCTCTTTTTCTTGTTTTGCTTTTTGGTTGGTGCCTTTGCTTTTCTTTGGTGCCTTTGCTTTTCTTTGGTGCCTTTTGGGGTGTTCATCATGTTTCCTTTTAACGCAAGAACGTGGCAACTGTTTGCAGGGGGCCTAAGTCTGGTCAAGCTTTGCGTGCCTTTGAGCAGTCGGAAGTCAGGACCGAGCGTCCTCCCTCCCCACAAATTTGCTCGCATGGGTGGTAGCATGTCTTGCGTGTAAATTTGTGGCATGTATATACACTTAGCATTTCTACACACACACATATATATATAGATAGATAGATATACACATATATATATATATATATGAATGTGTGTGTGTGCGTGCACTTCCTGAGCCAGATCAGGCTTACTGAGAGAATCAGTCTTACTGGCTGCTACGCAAACAAAGTGATGCTTAATTTGAATGAAGAGGAAACCCTGAGGGGTGGGTATGTGTACTGCACATGTTCCCCACAATGCACCGCCATCATCCCATATCTCCTCGCTAGCTGTTGTTCAGACAAGTGGAAGCTGGGCTCGGTTGCCCTCGGCGAATCACGTTTCTTCCTTTTTGTTTTCCGCTCCTGGCCTGTGACTAATCCTGATTTGGCTGTGTCTCACACAGATATACCAAATAAATTCTGCACCTTGGTATATGCCACAAAAGCCTAGCACTTGCGGTTTGCCCTAGCTCTTTAATTTTGAGCCACACCCAGGTTGTTCCTCCAAGTCTTGTTTTGCGCACTTCTTTCGGAATACCAAAACGAGCCCCTTTTTTGTTGCTCGCCACCCGCCCTCGTTTGATACCACACCGACGGAAATTGCTTTTGCTCGTGTTGCCGTTGTTCTTTTCGAGCAGGGTTGTGGGATCAAGGGGCTTGTTCCCACTTCTGTGATACAAGGGAATCTCCCCCTTTACATGCGGGGTTAGTGTTTGGGAGGCCCTTTCTGTTGCATCACAGAAGTTGTAATTTTCCAGACCTCTGTTTTCGAGAGACGAGCCGAGGAGCAAACCCTCCGCTGACCCAAGTCACCTAGCAGCGCACCTCGGGGCGCTCAGCGCCCCTTGGACATGGGGTGTGACGCTATCTGATGGTGGACGCCTACTGATGGACGATGGTTGTTATGTACAGGGGAATCGACTCATTCCAGGGTTTCTTGGGTGGTGCGAAATAGATTTCGTCCATCCACAGTATGTTTCGTAAGTAAGCCAACCATGAAGAGTGGTCAAAAACATGATGTTCTTTTTTGTTGGCTGGATGGAACCATGAATAGTGATCAGCAACATGATCAAACACATGATGTTCATTTTTGTTGGCTGGTTGGGGGGTTCTTGCTGACCGGCTGATTGGTTTGTTTCTTTTTGGTTGCCCCCTTTCCCTTGGCTTATCTGCAAGTGTCAGGGCCGTGCTTCCCACGGAGGCATGGAGCTTCCGAATTTACGAGAGGCGTCTACCAATAGATTCTATGTCCCCCAGTTAGTGCCCTTTTACCCTTTTTTGGGGAGGGTTCCCCTAGTAAAATCGACAGAGAAAAGGGTACCCTTATTCTAACCTCTCTGGAAGACCTGTAGATTAGTTAGCCCTCCCTTACTTTCCACCAGCTGGGCAAAGGTTTGGGAATATTCTCTTTGGTGCATTTTGCCAAGGGATGTTAGGACTTTAACTTTGCCAACTAGTGGGTTTTCCGTATTAACCCACTAAAAGTTAGTCACTTTTCGCAGGGCTTCGCAGGCGCAACCGAGAATTATTTTCGTGAAATCGGGTCCACACCCCACGGCTATTTCCGACAAACAGACCTGTCTCGGGATTTGCGAGCCACCCACACAGCTGCCAAGCTTGGAGAACGTTTGCCTCAGCACATCAGGCCCAAGATTAACCACGAAGGGAAAACCGAACTCAATTTTGGGGGGTCCTACACCAAACAAAAAAGCGTGTCTCTTTCTGGCAAACCCAGGGGTTCCGAAAGACTTTTTCAGGGCTAAGCGCTTTTTTGTTGCCTTGTTTCTAGGAGCTTAGCTCACAGCTTTCCGTAGTTGGGAGTGGGGCTTCACCAAGTGTCATCTTTGTTCTAAACCCTTTTTCCATCGAAGTTGCGTCTTGCTGCCTTTGTGTCTCCTTTTTCCGGAAAAAAACAACCTCAGAGGCTTCCTCAGCTGCCTTTTTTTTCTCCGCTGGAGCGGTGACTGGCCAGGTCCCCTCCTGGCGCGTCACCTCCTTGGCGCTGGCCCTGTGCCTCTGGTACCGGCATGGTGGCCGCCTGGCGAAAACCGAAAATGGACTTTGGGTCTTTGTTTCTGATTTTTCCCCCTGTTGGTTTTAAAAGAAACCTATCACTACTGGATTTTTTTCCCAGGAGACTTAAGCATATATGTTTCTTGGTGGTCCCAGCCGTTTGGTGAAGCTTCCATTGCCCCAAGACCATGGTGAAAATATCCGTTTGGTTATTTGGTCTTGGTTTCTTGGTGGCGAAGCCAGCCATCCGGTTCCTTAGCATTTTAGATCCTTTTAGTGTTGAGTGGTAGTTTCCGAATTTCACCAACCAAAAGTTAAACTTTTAGCGGGGGATCTGAGGGCAGCCCAGGTTTGGTTAAGCTTCCGTTACCCCAAGACCATGGTCAGAAAATCCATTTGGTTAAGAGTAGGTTTTTTTTTACTGTTGGTTTTGAAGTCAACCTATCACTAGCGGACACATTCTTATTTTTCCATTGGACATATCTGCAAATGGAGGTTGAGCTTTCCTAGTTCCCCACTGTTTGGCGTCAGGACTGGTTCGGTGTCCTTTTGATCCGCGAGTTTGGTTCGAAACAGATGGGGTTCCATTAGTTTACATTGGTTTTGTGCTCCATTTGCCCTCCCACCAAGCAACGCGGAACCTGAACTTGTCCAAACCAGGACCCTCCGAAACGTCAGGTTCTATGTTAATTGTTGAAAGACTTCCCCACAAGACCAAACCCCAAATAAGCAATTTGATAGGAAAGCCTTATTTTGGGCTCATGTACCTTCTACTTTGGTTTTTGGTTGCTTACCTTCGCCATCTAAAGTGATGATGCTCGTAAACACCAAGTCCTATATTGAGGTTGAAGGTGAAGCAACCAATATGGAAGCTTCTCCAAACTGATGGACCGCCTTTGGGTTGGTATTTGGAGGGGCAAACCAGAAATCGTGGCCATTTTGAGCATGTTTAGCGCTTCGAACATGAGCCACTTTTGATCACCGCCCGAAGCGGCAAGGGCGATTTCAAGTTGTGTGCCTGTGCTATTTTTGTTGAGGCTGCCTGTCGTTAACGGGAATGAGGGGAAACGCCAACCATGGTTTTTGTTTAGCCAGAGGCTCCCGATGATTTTTGGGCCCTCAAGCAGCCAACCCCAAACACCTCCGGGGGGTTTAATGGAGGGGTCGGGTCTTTCATTGAAAGCCCCAGGGGCGTCTGGGTAGTTTGTTCTTCCTTTTTCTTTGTTTTGGCTGCGGGCCAGGCATGGCCAGACAGCATGTTTTGAGGCAGGCACCGGCACCAAGAGGTGTTGCCAAGGCCCAGCTTCCAAACACCAAAAATTCTGCCAGGTTAGAGCTCGCCATCTTTGGAGGGCGGTCAGGGGTCCTTGTTGCCCATGTTAAGGATCAAACATTGCAGTTTCGCAGCCGTGTGTGGGTACAAATTATGATGACGCCTTAAATGTGCAAGAGCTTTGCACCCGCTCACAAAGTTGTTTGTTCAGGACTTACTCGATTGTGACGGAACAAAAACACAGGGTATTTGTTGACCAACTGGTATTTCTGCACTTAAGCGGACTTCTAGGTTCCAGAACACTCTTTTTTTTGCAACCTATGCAAGAACACCGAAGAACACGTGCCCAGATCATTTACGAGTTCCCATGATTGCCAGGAATTCATGGTGCGCGAATCTTGGCCGTTCATGATAACACCACCTAAAATCAGCAGCGCCAGCATACCAGCGTGCAACCAGCCTAAAACCACCGTGAAACCACTAGACGCCAACAAAATACCACGAACACCAACCTAAACCCTTCTATTTACTGCCATGGAACCGCGTCACCCCGCATTGACGCCTGGGCGGGGGAGAAGGCACATGGCCGCGCCACGCGAGGCATGTGCTTCCTGCTGGTGGCCATGGCATGGCCTAAGCGCAGCTCTGGATCGATGCTCCAGAAGCTCTCACTTGCCCCGTGGCACGGAAGTGTTTGTTCTCGTTGCGGACTTCCACAGACGTGCCATGGTCAGAAGACGGGTTCCTTTACTATTTTTATGGCTACTTCAACTTTTTGGGATTTTCCATTGGACCCAGAAACAGTTAAACTTTTACTTAGAGTTAACAGGGATGGCCTCCTTGTAAGTCATTGTTCGGCTGGAAAAAAAAAGGCTCAGGTAATATCCCCAACAGCATGCGGTGCTCTTTGTAGTGCTCGCACCACCCCGCAGCCCTTTGGAACCCTCGTGGAACCCTCGTGGAACCCTGGTGGAATCCTAGTGGAACCCTCGTGGAACCTTACTTCAGGCCCGCCCCGGACCACCCCGGAGCCTATCTGGGCTGAGACCCCAAAGCTTTCAGCTGTTGGGGAATTATCTGAAGAAAAAACAGATATGGTAGCATCTTGATTCATTACCTCCCTGTAGCTTTCATAATTGGTGTAGGGGCTTGTTGAGAGAATGAACCAACCAAGGCAGTCTTATTTAAACATCCTTCTTCTAATTCTAACTGAAAGCGTTCTACCTTCTGAAGCCCTAGTACTAGAACCTTCCTTTGGACATCTTCTCACCGATTTATCTTCTGCAACTTCCGGGAGGTGGCCAGCAGAAGCGTTCTATCTGCCAGATCCTTGTGAATAAATTTCCACAAATGCTGCTATAGCTCCACATGCTTTAACAACCACATAATCTCGTCAAGATAGATTTTACCAACCAACCACAGGGGGTTCTGCACAGTGAGGTTCGCACACGCACAAGCACAAACCTACGCACAAAGCCACGAGAACTGCCTTTGGCACATGAGCCATGGTCAAAAATCCTCATATGGCGTATGGCCATGGCTCCCGAAACAAGAATCAAGCCAGCGCTAAGGATTCTACATGCTGCCAACATAGACGGACTTGTGATGTTTGCAACGGTGATTAAGAATCAAAACAACTAATAAGATAACAACAACAATCTGATGTAACTTATACATGTGATGATTGCCAGTATGAAAGGATTGTAGAATGGTAGTTCACGAACAAAGTAGTATACATAAGATAAAAAGCGACCAAATCAGAGTTCCGTGGCAAAGCAATTAGTGATAATACATAATCATCGGTTTGTGCGCGCTGTAAAATACGTTCGCTTGATCTCTGTGTCTCTACATGTTCTGAACTTTTGTTGTTTTTGTATCACGTTCTTCCCCGCTGGCGTCACATTCCTTTCTCTTATCTATATACCAATGATTGCATTTACATCCTGCCTTTCTCTTTTACATTATACTTGGCTACATCAGGAGAGGAATAAGAAATGTGAGGTAGACATATAAGACATGGGTTGATTGCCCACAAACATCAGACATAATTGTTGCCATTCTTTTCTTTCTATAGCATGTACATGCTTTTCGTTCTCTATCTTTCCCTTCTTCTAAACCTCTTCTCTGCCTACTCCCCGTGAACTTCTACAGACAGTCCCAGTCGTGAGACAAACGAGCGGGATAAAGGACACACATGCCAGAGTTTGAATGGCGTTCTGTTGCATTCTCGGTTCCATGTCAACTCCATCTGGGACACAATCAAAACCCGGGTAGATGAAGGTTAGTAAGGGGCAGTGCCAGCCAGAAATAGTTGCGGCCGCCTTCTTAATTCGTTACATGGTTCTGGGTAGACCATTTTAATACCGGGTTTTAATTGTGGTGACCCGTCTTGGACACACATAAGGAAAAGCGAGCAGCAACGATCCCGTTGGATCCCTATAAATGTCCCAGGTGGGCACCCAGCGAGCCAAGGTTTTCTGGCTTGATTTCCTCCCCCCAGGTGATGGGTTCCTACAGTTGGCTAAGCATTGCAAGGGAATCAGCTCCTTGCGTTTAGCTTATGACGCGCTTGGCCAAAGCTCATTCTGCAACTCCCGCTGTCCACTAATCGCGCAAGGCCTTGCATGTTTCTCTTCTTTTTGTTTTTGGGGGGGGACCAGGGACCAGGGACCAGGTAAGGTAGGGATGAGGGTGCTTCAGCAAAAGGCTGCCAGGCAAGCCCTTGGCGTTCTTCCGGGCACCCCGCAGTTCGCAGGGCACCTTTTGATTCGGGGAAATTCCACTGGAGTGACCCCGGCCAAGTCACCCAACATATGGACTTATAATTGGAGCATATTGGAGCTGACCCCGGCCAAGTCACCCAACATGGACGTATAATTGGAGCTCCCGAGCGGAGCTCCCCGGCTCAAAAAACGACCGGCGGCGGCTGCGCGCACCGCGTCAGGTCCACAGCCAGAAGGCCGCCCTTTGCCTTCGATGGCACCTGCAGCGCCGGCGGCTCTACGTGAAGTGGGCCACCGAGCGCTTGGACAAAGAGCGCCCCGGCGAGCCAGCTGTCGTCGGCGGGTCGGATCAGTTTTACGGCGGGGCGGGGTTTCTTTCGGCCAACGCGGGGCGGCCGTTGAATCAGCTTCTAACGAACTGGTGGTGTGGAGACGGGTGGTTAAGGGGTGGTTGGAAATCTACCCTGTAGAAGAACAAGGGGTTCAAATCCGCAAACCAGCAATCCTGAGAAACACCTCACTTTAAAGGACGAGAAGCCACTTTACGAGGAATGCTGTTTTCTTTTTTTTGAGAACTTTGTGTCGAGTCCTCACGTGGGCCTTTTTGTTGCAGGCAGCCCTATTATACAAAAAGCCTGCGCGAAAGGTAGCTTGTTGTTGTTCATGTGTGCCTGGCGCATTGCCAGAGCCATAGCGTTTGCAGCCCTTTTTCCCAGCCATAGCGGTTGCGGCCCTCATTTAACTGGTTTACGTTGCCCGCAGCTGCCTTGTTCCGTTCATACTGTGATGGACGAAATCCTGCACCACTTGGAAACCATGGGGAACCATTGTTTGTTGGTATTTACAGGAGAATCATCATTCTAGGGTTTCTTGGGTGGTGCAGGATTTCGTCCATCCACAGTATGTTTGCATCAGAATTTCGACCTGCCAGGCTCGGCTTGCTGTTGCTTGAAAGACGGAAGCAAACGCTTTCATGAAGCCAAGGTTTCAAAAGCGAGCCAAAGGCAAGGTTTTGGAGGGGGGTAAGCTTGCAGAACAGTTTGCTGCAGGGCAGGTCAGGGGAATCGCCTTGGTGAGTCCTAGTCAAACAAGAGTATCATGCTGATGGCTTGCTCGGTCCTTCGGCCCCAACTAACGCCAGGGTTCACAGGAGTTGTTCGCAAGTTAGCTAAAGTTCCTGAACACGACGGAATGTGTGTGTGTGCTTGCACCTTTGAAGGGGACGGTTCGCCTGTTTGTGTGCTTGTGATTGCGGTATGAGCAGAGCCTTGGGTTTCTTTCTTCCCGTTTCAGCGGGAAATGTCAAGTGAGCTTCCAGCAAAGGGGCGGCTGAAGCCAACCATCACCTCAACCACCACAGAGAAACAAACCAATTGGATGCCTCCAGAACTCTTTGGGTTGGAAGATCCCGTGGGGGGAAGTTGGAAAACAGGATAGCCTCACCAGTCCAAAGCCCAAGGGACACCCTGAAACTTTTAACGTTGCCCTTTGTGCAAGTGAGTCAATTCAATGCAGCCTTCAATGGAGATGGAGTCAATTCCCAAGCGTCCACACTTTTGCTTCTATGGGTGTTTCGCAAAAAAAGGGGGTGCCCTAACATAGTTGGTTTCCTTTTGGTTTCCCTTTGAATGCCAACCAAAAGAGGCTCTAAGCCATCTTGGAGCCACCCTTGTTGCTAGGGTGCTCGACCAAGTTGGCAAGTTGTTGGCAACGTAGGTTACAACTCACTTTTAAGTCCCCTATTTAGTGGGCTTAACTTTGCTGTTACGGTGTGAACCCCAAATGGCTAACCACTCCCTAACTTGGCAACAAACATCCAAGCTTAAATCCCAACCAGAAGTTTTAGCCACTTTTGTTGGACACAAATTCCCCTTCCAACTTCACGAAGCCCTTTCTTTCCCATGGACGCCCCCACTCACTGCGTGGCTCATTTTTAATGAGCCGAACAAAAGCTCGCGCTCGCTCGCGTTTTGCGAGGCTTCAAGGCGCGTGGCGCGTGTTGCTGCCGCCCTCCCCGCGCCAAGAAATCGCGGAGTCCCTCGGGGGAGGGCCGTGCCGCTCCGTGCTGGGCTACCACGCCTCCGCCTGCTCAGGCGGCGCAAGCCGGTGTTCGGTGGTTTGTTTGCTTTCTCGGTTTGTTTGTTGTGTTTGTGGCTTCTTGTTCTTTATTATCCGTGTTTTTGCGTGCTTTATTTTCTCGGTTTGCTTTTTCTTTCGGGAGGGATTGATTGGTTGGATCCCACGGACGGTGGGGAGAGAGAGAGAGAGAGAGAGAGATAATTTGAGAGATGGACTGATTGATGGGTACGATTCGGTAGATAGCTAGATAGGTGCAGACAGAAAGGGGGAGGGCGAGATACATCGAAAGATAGACAGATAGATAGAGAACAAAAGGGCGCCTGCCAGCCAAAGATCGGTCAGCAGATGCAACGTTGCAGCTGAAAGAGGGCATTGCTTAAGACTTGAACACCATTTATGGGAAGACGCAGGTTCTGATGGTCTAGGGTATGCTATCTTTGGATTGCTTAGTTCTTAAAGCGAGGCCCCGCTCGCCAAGACAGAGCTGCAGTCTGAATGTTGATCACTGGAAGGGTTCGCGTTGGAGGCCGCCTGCGCAAGATGCCCAAACTACATCCCTCTTGTGGCACCTTCGTTTGATTCAGAAAGCCAGTATGCGCAGCTTGGGTTTGCGGAATTCACCTTCGAGTCGGAGAGGTCGAATTCCATGTGTTTAAGCTGGAGTGTTCGGTTGCAGGCTTGGGGTCAAACGAAAGCGTGCACGTTTATGCCTGCCAGTGAACAGCCGGCTGCCTTGGAAATCGCGTCTCTGGTCCAAGCAGACTTGGTCGAGCATGCTGCCACGGTGGATACCGTCGACCATGACCATGGGCCAACACTTTTGACAAGGGGCCCGGTACCTTAGGTGAGAGGGGGAGTAAAGCAGCACCTATGGTTCTGTCGTCGTTTATGTGTCCAAGATTGTCCAAGTCAGATGAATGGTTAGGCAACTGAAAACCAGCAGAACCCCAAAAAAAGGGGGGTGGTCCTCCTAGAGCTGCTGATTTTCAGACCAATTCGCAAAACCGTCGTGAGCCGTGCGCATCGGAAACCGAATCCATTGGAGGCTTCCTGCTACCACCAGAGGCGGGCGATGGACGCGAGTTGATGAGCCAAGAGGTGCTGTCTGCTTTCCAAGCACACCGTCTGGGAGACTCGATGAAGGGCTGTGTCCTGGAGGTTTGCCCCACAGACCGGTTGGCCAAATCAGTTCGTATGATCCGTTACGGACAAATCCGGGATGGCAAGTGCGACCGCTTCTTTTCGGTCTTCGGGAGTTTCTTTAATTGCGGGTGCCTTGTATCTTGCAGTTCGGTCAAGCTGCCTGCTGTTTCTAGGTACCCCTTAATGTTGACCCCGGATTAAGAACCCCCTGTTTATCAATAAGGGGGGTGTCCCTGGTTTTAGTGGGGATTCGTCACTTTTGGAGGGGAACACCCCCATATTAATAAGCAGGGGTTTATTAATCCGGGGTCAACATTAGTTGGTGGGTTGGAGGGGCTTGGGCCCGGGTAGACTTAGAATACATGTTACATTTTGCCAGTGACTCAAAGTGAAGCAACCAATAAAATATATATTCTATAACTGCATGGGCCTAACTCTAATCATGGTGAACCTACCGGAAACTATCCTTAAACACCAAATCACCGATCCGGCTCCAAAGAACCAAGTCGAGGGAACCTGAATTTGGATGGGTGTTCTCCTGAATTTTTGAGATGGTGTTGTGTTTGCTAACAGGAAAATAAATACATACATAAATAAAGTAGATAGATCAACAAGCACAAATACACATGGAAATGCAACTGCAAATGTAAATCCAAGCGCATTCATAATGTGTATAGATATATACACTGTATACACATATGCATTCATATCATCACAGTATATATATATATATAATTATATATATAAGCAAATTTTGCGGGCGACGAAGACCAAGCCATCCGGGTTTTGTGCAGGTGGTGTCCTGCAGTTACCTGCCGGAGCCGGGACTCCGGGCCCACTGCGTCCGACTTCTGCGGGAGCAGTGGGACTCTGAGGCGAGGCGAAACCTGGACCCCATCCCCGAGGAGCGGACTGAGCGATCTCATGTGGAGTGATGGGGAGGGAGAGGGAGGGGAGAGGGAGGGGGGGTTGGGGTGGAGGAGGGGAGGGGGGGAGGGAGGGGGGAGGGATGGGGGGAAGGAGGGGAGGGGGGGGGGCAGGGAGGGGGGAGGGATGGGGGGAAGGAGGGGAGGGGGGGGCAGGGAGGGGGGAGGGGAGCGAGCCCAAATAAGGCCTTGCTTAGGGCTTATTTGGGCCCCCCCCAGCCCCCACGCAGTGAAGCGCATTCGAAGGACCGGAGTGTCCAGATGTGGATGCGTGAAATCGAACCATCCAACGCACGACGAAATGAAACCACGGTATTGCTTGTTGGCTTGCTTCCAGAGAATCAGCATTCCAAGGTTTCTTAGGTGCAGGATTTCGTCCATCCACAAACCCCGACTGTTTTCTGAGAGGGCACAGTTTTGGGGGTGGTTTTAAAGGGAATCCAAATGGAAACCATCATTTTGGACGGGGTCACCTAAAAGAAAGGACACGTCCAGATATGAACGTATGTTGGCAAACATGAGGTTGTCACCCTTGAATGTGAAGAACCCCACTTGTCCAAAGCAAATCGACCTTTGACCCTGTGTGTTCCCCTTTTTGACCTACGAACTAGGTCACAAAAGGTTTACCTTGCATTTCCGCGCCATTTGGGCAAGTGAGAATCGGTACATGTGAGGCTGTCCTCTTTGACCAGCTCAGCCAGAGAAAAGTCCATCCAAATTGGCCTTCGCTTGCTCAACTCAGAAGGGGCTTCATGGCAGTCATGAGCCGCGCACTTCCAAGTGCACGCTTAAGGAGCTGAGTTATTCAGGCAGATTCACGCTTTTCACATGCTTTAAGCCCAAGCCTCTCAGACACCTTGAATGCAATAGTTCAATAGAGACACGCAGTTCTTTCATCCTTTGGTGTACCGTTGCTTGTGCATATTTTTGTTGCGCATTGTGGTTGTGTTTGGTTGGTTGCGTGTGCAGGTGATTGTCTGTGTGTGCATGTCATTGTCACCTCTTTACCCCTCTCTGCAGTTGTTCTGTTGTTTTGGAACCCCGCCGTCGCCAAAGGGCAGAAACTTCGATCGCACCAACAGCCACAAGCACAAGCAGTGGCCAACTGCTTTTGACCTACTTCGGAGACCCACAACAATCAACGCTAACCAGTGCCAAACACAGGTTGCGGTCCCCTTGATCCATTTGAGGGACAATCCTTCTTTGGGCCCACCATGTCTTGATTCAGCGTTGCTTTTCTCTATTATTATGTTTTTTTTTTGGGGGGGGCAAAGTTATGACTTGGGGAAATAAGCCCAAGGTGTCACGAGTGGGATTCGAAGAGGGTGCTTGGTTTAACCAAACGTGTGACGCACTTGCCCGAAAGCCTGCAAGCATAAGAGAGATGTCGGGTATTCCACGTCAGCTTTGCACGGAAACCAAAGCATCAAGCCATCAATCCAGCGACTACTGCGTAGAACCTCAGAGGAACTTACAGTACCTAAAAATCAGAGAGATGTGTTTGATCCCCGGAATACGGGGCCAATATCCGGAAGATCCATATTGGCCACCCTTCTCACTCCGCAACCGCGGCTTATAAGTTGCATATATCCCCCACCTGCAAAAAGGACATTTAGGGAGGTTTCCTCAACTTTGTTTCGCCACGATGTTTTACACTTCGCACAAGACTACTGAGGGTGCAAACCTCAGACAGTTTTGCAACCAATGACCAGGCAATCAAGAATGACCCATTCCAGGACGTTGCGCTTTCCTCTTTGCCTTGTGTCTTGTTCGATGTTTGGCATCGTCATTCCATTGGCATTGGCCATCAAGCACTGAAATTGTTGCGGAGCTCTGCCCGATGGGTTGAATGGGATCTCTTCGGGTAGGGCTCCCTTTCTTTCTGATTTCTGGAGCACAAGGCTTTCTGATTTCTGGAGCACAGGGCCGCCAGGGATTCAGCTATCTTTGAAGGTTCGGGTGCTTCCCTCGCTTCCTTGCAAGAACCAAAGGGTGGGTCTCCGTTGTTGTTTTTGTTTTTCCCCTCCGTGGCCGCACAGGAAACCTCAAGGTTGCCGAGGGTCTTATTAGGCTTGGCAACCTGTTGCAGAAAAGCAGCTTCAAGTGAATTCATAAATCTGAGGGTTGACTTGAAACTTGAATCCCACTTAGCCATACAATGGTGTCTTACGGTTGTGATGATCGATGATCGAATGTGCGACCCTGCTTGCTGGTAAATGGTAGCGATCGACACAATTTGAGGATTGGTTCCCTGAAGCGCCCCCCCTAAACTCACGAAGACCTTCCCTGCCAGCTTGATGATTATTTGTGCAGCGCCTAGGGTCAAAAAGCACTTGAGTGCCGCATGCTGTTGAGTTGCAGCCATAGGTGTCCTTTTTAGGTTTGATGTGCTCGACAAAATAGATGGCGATTCCTGGTTTACCTGGCGTTTTGTTCTCGGCTACCTGGGAAACCCATCTATTTCCCGAAAAGGACACCTATGGTTGCAGCTTCTCTCCAAGAGAATCCGTCAGGAGGAGAAGACTCGCACCTGGGGCTTCCGCAGTCGATGCAAGACCTCTGCCTGAGAGGCGATTCGCTGCAAACCACATCGACCGGGCGCCGCGGTATTTTTTTGGGATGTCAACCGCGTTGGCGGGAAGAAGCCAAAGGCTGTGACCCAAGCACAACTTCTGAAACTGCTTTTGAGGTGTTTGTGTTGGAGCGCCTTGGGCTTCGAGAGGGGAGAAAAGGGCCATTCCTGGAGTAAAGCCATCCTCATGGCAAGCTTTGAGCTTGGTTTCCCTCAAGGGCTTGAACGCGCACGGACCGTTTTTGGCCAGCGAGCGGCCCCAAGAAGCTTCAATGGTGGTCCAAATTGCAGCCGCTGAAAGAAATCCACCAGGTGCCCGGTCGTCATTTTTCGTAGGGAACACTTAAGGAGGAGGGCCACTCAAGTGGCGAGCAACCTGGCAAGCAATTTATCCTTCTGGTATGTCCTTTGGGTTGGTTATGACCGGGTTACTCGGCACTTGCGTAGCCGATCACCTCCTGAAGCACATGCCCGGGGAGGCATGTTCCCGTTGGCAGCCCTCGATCGCCGCGATGGCGTTTTTTGGTAATTCATGTGTGACGCCGGTCGTGGACCGATGGTCGGCGTCAGGTTGGGCTGCGGCTTCAAATTGTGAGGGATGCCGCCAACAAAAATCCGATCCTGGACGGGTCCACAAATTTTGAGCCGAAGCCCCACGTGTAAAGGATCGAGAAAATCCGATTTATCCAAGCGGAAGCGTATGAGAGGGGCAAGCCGATTTGCCTCCGTGAGTTGACGGTGGATAGGCCCGCTCACGGCAGCAGTCGCGCACACCTGGATCGGATGCTTGGGGTCACTTCCTTTCTAAGAGGGATTCCGCTACCCCCAAGCCCAAGCACAATCTAGCGACTAAACAGGTCATGTATAGGTCATGTTATGTGCTCCATGTTGGGGGGGTGGTGTGCTGGTACCGTTGGAGCGTACCAGCGCTCAAGACCCTCCCCAGCTGAATCTTTCAGACGAATCTTGGGAGGGTCGAGCAAGCCTTCAGCGGATGTCCTGGTCCCATGGGTCCTATGGCCCCCCGTTTGCACCGAAAACGATTGTTTGCAAAGTTTGCAACTCACTCCCTGAGTTCCTCGACTTGCTGTTTCTTTCTTTTTTTTGCCATGGATCGTTTTAGTGACAAGCAAAGGGTTTGCAGTTGTTGTCGGCCCATCTCAGGAAGTGAGGCAACGCAGCTTGCTCAGCTCATGGGGGTTGAGCACTGCATATATTGTTTGAACTGTCCCGAGAAATCTTTTGCCATCGGCCGAGCACGTGACGCCACTCGGCCGCGCGCGGTTTTGCAAACGGAAGCTTCTTGGCGTGCCGCAGAGCCACGCCCCGGGTGACACACCTTGCCAAACGATGCCTGAGCACAAAATCTGGAGTGATTCCGCCACGGGGGCTTGGGAGGGCAGTTTGGCCGATGCCTTGGTATCTTTGCTTCAGAATTGGAGGGCGCAAAAGCCACGAGAGTACGAAATGGTGCAATCAGTCAGGGCAAGGCTTCATGATTTGGGACTAGATGCGCGATGTGGCCAATGTCAAGCAGGCGACATGCTCTGACCTACCCGTGTGCGCTGCTTTCCTCTTGCTGCAGTGAGTCCCCCCCCCACCCCCCCCCAAAAAAAAAAACAACACCACGCGCACCAACGCCAACAGCCCCGGAAATCCCTGGGACCGAACCTTCGGACACTCCGAAAAGAAAAAAGCGCCGCTCCGAGTCACCCCTGACTTCTGAAATCCTGCAACAGGATCCCAGCAAACTTCGGAGGCCCGGGCCGCAAAGCTGCTGTGAGGAAGGAGGCCCTTGGCTCAAGACATGAGGGGTGTGTGCGTAAGCTCCCGGCCTGGGCCTCGGAAGGGAAAAAATGGAATTGGTCGGTCCCTAATGTTAAGCCCGGATTAAGCAGAACCCCTGGTTGATTTTGATGGGGGAATGTCCCCTTTTAGTGGTGGGATTCATCACTTTTGGGGGGAACACCCCCTAATAATGGGACGGGTTTATTAATCCTGGGTCAACATTAACTTTGTTTGAGAAGCGCCTTTTTTGGTCACTTCGCTCGGCCCATCCACTCGGTCGGAAGTGAGGAAGCACTGGAAATATGCTTATGCTGACTTATGCTCTTCTTTTTCTAGGCGCATCCACAAGTGGAGGCCTGAAGAGGGCTGCCTGTCACTTTCTCTGGGGATCCTCGTGCTTTTCCTTACCGACCAAAAGAAGGTCGCCCCTTATTTAGAGACACCCCGTGTTGAAAGAGAGACTGATGGCCCCGTTTGGGGACGTGACTAATTTGAAAATCCACAGCGGCCTCCTGAGGCAGATTTCACGCAGTTGAGAAACCACCATGTTGAGAGTGGAAACATGGACCAAAACCTGCGCAACCTCCTGCTTAGTTTTGAGCCACACCCATTTCTCAGTCCCGGTTCAGCACGGTTGCCAGCACTCCGCACAGATTCAGGACGAGTTTGCTTCTACTCGCTCCCTGAGTTCGGAAGACTTGGCAACTGAGAGGTCCAGAATTTGGTTGGACCCACTATTCCCAAGTTTTTGGGGAGCGTTGCCACCATTTCTGGCATTGGCCGTAAAAATGGCTCAGGTGGGCGGCTTCGACGGCCTTCCGGCTTCCGCGGAAGACTGTCGCGCCAGGCGCGTGCAAGGGGTGGTTGCAGGTTTGGTACTTGGGAACGCTCATTTTGGAGCTCTCAACATGTGCTATTGGCCTGTCTTGGGGGATGCTGCAGGCCTGAGGAGAGCGGAGCGTGCGAATGACGGGTAACGGAGAAGGGTTTGATTCCGGAGAGGGAGCCTGAGAATCGGCTACCACATCTAAGCAAGGCAGCAGGCGCGCAAATGTCCAAATCCTGACGCAGGGAGGTGACAAGAATTCAGACTGCGCACGGAGCAAGCTACTTTTGCTGGTGCTCAGTAGGGACTGCCTCATGGTTTGGGAACCAGCCGGAAGGGTACTCCCTAAACCAAATCTGGGCTGGGAACTCAGGCTCATTCCACCTGATTCCCTACATATTTGCTCGCGCCATGTGCAGCACGAATCACAAGGTTATGCCTGTGACTACTTGATGGCGCCAACCACAAACTGCAAGAGCAACCTGTGATTCAGCCGAACCACCGCGTGAAGCTTGCTTTTTTTGGGGCGGGGGCGGGGGCGGGGGGGGGGGGGGTGGCCATGTTTGTAGACCTGAATTTCCTGTTGCCTGGCATTTGGAACCTTTGAACCGGAGCCCACCTTTTGCCCAGCTTCCGGTTGCTTCTTTCAAAACTAGGTTGCCATGTTGAGCATTGCGTGTAGCATCACGCAATATTAAGATGTAGCATCACGCAATATTAAGAGGATCCTTGCTGTTCGCGGCTATGCGCCAAAGACTTTTTGCCGGGATGTTTGCAAGTCTTCTAAATCTACTTAAGCCACCATCAGCTTCTTAGTAAGTGGTTTGATTACCATCGTGAAATAGCCCACAAAGGCCATGATTACAAGTCCCCGTTCCGTGTCTAACCACTACTCTGTTGAAGGATACAACTAGAAATCACCAAGCACATGTCGAAACCTTCGTGTTGAAGTGGGACAAACGGAGCGCCAAAGGGAATCCAAGATAAAACCCAAATTCCCAAAGGATTCCACTAAATTGAGCCAGGATTCCCAAATTCCAGGATAACCTGAATCCAGGTAATCCAGGTACTCCCAAAGGCAAGCAGAATCGATCGCCCCGTGCACTGGGCGCAGGTGTCAGCCCCGTCAGCCCCGTCAGCCCCGCGGCGCCGGCTTCGGCCGGCGCCCAACGCTTCGGCGTTGGCGCGGCTCCAGCGAGGTCTGGTCACAGCGGTTTGGTTCAAGTCCGCTCGTTTCAGCTCAGGTTGATTCAGGGTGGTTGGATTCAGTTTAATTCATGTTGGTTCTGTTCATTTTTGACTGGGGGGCTGCGCTGTGGAGTTTTGCGCACGTACCAGTGCCGTGAATTTTTGGTTACAGAACTGTTGCAAGGAAGTTGGTTTCCCCGCATCTGACTTTTGGTGCCCGAGCAACGCATGTCCAAAGCCAGGTGAGCCACAATCAAAACCCGGATAGATGCAGGTTAGTATTGGACAATCCCAACTAGAAATTGCTGCGGCCGCCTTCTTAATTCCTTACATGGTTCTGGGTAGACCATTTTAGTACCGGGTTTTGATTGTGACTCAGGTGTTGTCCACCCCAGAGGCATGAGTCCGCACACCCCCCCGCCCAACCCACCCTAGGGCCTAGGGCAAGAAGTGTCAGAGCAGTTCGTCCAGGGTGCTTTTTGACAAGAAATCAAGAGGGACCTCCCTGAAAATTGCCCAGACCTCATGTTGTCCTTTTTGAGAGGGGGGTTCTCTTTGAACATCTTGAAAGTCAACTACCAAAAAGCATGAGCTTCCCCACAGGCACTGGGGTTCTGTAGAAACGATTTCAAGGCGCTGAATCTTTGAACGAGGTCGCACAGAAAAACCGAGTCCTCTCGGATGCATTGCCGCGGAGCGCTTGCTGGCGCCTCGCCAGGAACGATGGGCCCCCTTTGGCGCCAGGATCCCAACGGATTCCCTCTGGCCGCTTCATGGTAGCTCTGCCATTCCCCCCCCTCTGCTCAACAATAGGGGTCACCCCTCGGGTTCTTTGCCGGGAGTGGTGATTCCTTAGCAAGGAAATCAACTTCAAGGTGCCCTCTTTTTCCAGGAGGCCTGCTGAAATAGCCTGAGGTCACCCAAACTGTGCCCCCCCAATCGCCTGGTTGCCTTTTGTGTGGGGGTGGGGGATTGTGAACACGTCAAAGCAAACAGCTCTGGAAGTGGCCTCAGCTCAACAGCCTCCAGTCACCGGCTCGCTAGACTTGCGATTTCCCGGTCCTCGATGTACGAATCTGTTTGGTGCATTGGGAATCGCAAAAAGGGGTCCCTGGAGTCTCCATGACCCTTAAAAAAAGGTCCATGACCCCATTATTTTGGGTATTGACCCCAATTCTTAAGGGTCATGGGGACTCCAGGTACCCTTAAGAAAGACAAACCCGGATGAGAGGAGCAAAGGTGCCAGAACAATGGAATGTTCGAGGCACGGCATGGCCCGAATGGAGGAATCTTCCTGATCATGGCCATGTGTCAAAAGCGCCCCCTTCCAAATCGTTTCTCAGTCGATGATTCCCTGCAACCAGTACGTGTCGCCATCAACCACTTCAAAGTCGCTGGAAGAACTTGACTTCGACTCTACGACACAATTCAGGTCCCGAGCTACCGGCGCACACTCCTTCAATCAAGTTTGACCCAGGTCCGCGGTAGTTCACGTAGCTACAGGACTCATGTTGCCCCAGCCCAGTGGATTCCGCAAACTTTGTTCTCACTTTCTTGTCTTTTCTTTTTTTTTGGGGGGGGTCCCCCTTAAACTCAAGCAACAAGAAGAAGGATGCCCTATCTTTGTGGCTATTTGGTTGGATCTTTGGACTCTAACTTGTTGAACCAGACATGATTTTCCGAATTGGACCCACAGAAGTTAGACTTTTTGCAGAGGGACCAACAGCAACCAAACTTTTTCCACGACCACTGGGCATTTGAGCGGCAGTATGGACCATTGCGTCCCCCGAAAGCTTTGTACAAGCCTTGCGTGAGCGGAAACATGGGTTTGCGCTTTTTGGTTGAGGGGTACCCTTTTGTTTCTTGTTTCCGTACTGGAAACCAAGGAGAGCCAACCTCTTCTTTTTTTCTTGTGTGTGTGTGTGGTGTCCATCGAGCCACGGCCGTTTTTTTTTGTTGGCGTCCAGAGGCGCCCCCAAAGCTGGAAGACTGTCCGGCCCAGGGAAGGCCAGGCCAAGATGAAGATCGGCAGCGTGCCAAGGGTCTAGGGGTTGATTCCTTTTCCATTCTTTTCAACCATCGTTCTTTTCAAAAACCGGCTGTTTCCCCTGGGTTTTGGGTGGTTTCCTGAAAAGAAGGATCCCTGGAAAGAATGTGGAAGGTACCCCTAGAAAGGGGGCGAACTGCGATCTTTGTCCCAGACGCGGTGTGAGCAGAGGCGCTCACAAAAAGCCGTGGGCTTTCTTATTTGTTCAATCCGTTGGAAATTCCTGCCTGACCTTCAATGAAATTGAAGAACCATGAGTTCATTAGACATGTTGCAGTGCTAAGTGCCAAATCTGATTGGTTGTGCGTGGTGAAGCTTTCTGGGTAGTTCTTAGTTCCCCCGAAGATGTCCAAGTTGACTTTCTTCAATGGCTGTGTGCCATGTTTTGGATGTAACACACCCTTGAAATTCAGCAACCTCTAGTTGACCTGGGTTGTTCCATTCAGCCTGGCAACTTGAACCTAGGAATTTCTGTGGAGCGCTGGCACTGAGCCATGGTTTCGTGTTTGGACGTTCTCTTGACGGACCTATGATCTTCAATCAGGCCTTCTCCCTACATTCAACGTGACGTCTAGCCTCAAATGACTTCTGCAGCGCTTTGGGAGGGGGCTCAGTTTCTGTTTCACAGGGGCTTCGTTTTGTTTTTCTGTTTGCAAGGGCTGGTGCTGCAAAATTGAGGAACCTGTGCCTACACAATCAATACTCCGTAGGCTGCAACTGTTCCTGAAAGACAAGGGTTGAGGCACTTTTCCTTGCGCGTCCAAGGCAAGTACCAGGGCAAAACCTTTGCGGATATTTACCAGGAGGAGCTGGGTTCCGTTCCCCGTCGGATGGCATGGCTTGCCAAGTCATCAATGGGCGATCCCTGAGCCACCATCCGGATCTTCGACCCTGGTGCCTGGTTGGCGTTTCGTGGTATCCAGGAGATGTCCTGCGATCTCCGGAGAGATCCGCAGACTTAGATGCACTCTATTCCTCTTTTGGGCCGGTCGCCTCAGAAAGTTTGCTTTGGGGTGCCTCCTGTCAGGCATGCGTCCATCGTTTCACAGGACCTCCGAGAGAAACGAAATGCAGCAGATGCACCGTGGCACTAAGAACTGAGAACAGTTCCTTCTGCCGACACCTTGGTTCTTCTTTGCAAGCGACACCTCTCCTGTTGAAGCTAAACAACGAGAGGAGATGATTTGTTCTTCACCGCGGCCGAAACGTCAGGACCCGCAGTACTGCAGGTGGGCCTGTGACGTGGCTCTGCCGGGGAACCAAGGTGCCGGAGGGTGGGTACACAAATCGCAAATAAGTTTGAGGCAAAGCGCGTGACAGCTTCAGATTGATTGCATGGCTTGCCTGCACACTCGTGGCGCAAGCTACCCGAAGCCTGGTCACACAACAGCACACACACATATTTTGATCATTGATTTCGCAGCCTGTTGCTGACTGCTCGGCGCAAATGGAGTATGGACCGCCGATCTTGACCTGGGGCAATCACCGTTTGGCAGAATTCCGCCTTCCTCAGCCCAGCATAGCAGCCAGCAACCAGTTCTTTGAAACTCGAACATGTATTGAAGCAGTAGCCGGGGGCAGTGCAACCATTGCCCGATTTACCTTGTCACCCGGTTCTGCTTAGCTCGCAGTTTGACCTGTCTTCACTGGACTCTTCAAGAACGAACTCATTTTCCAAGCCGGACCATCCTTTGGATGGTTTAAAGGGCAACCAAAAGTACCTTCTAAGGCGGCACTCAGACCCCTTTTTACCCCCTAAAAGCAGTCCTCATGAAGTACTTGGACCCTCTGGGTTGGGGGCCCGCCCATGAGAAACACACGAATCTCAACGAATTCCTTTCTTCGTCTTCTCGTGGAGAAGCAGTTCGCATGTCTACGGCCACAGTTTCGGCAAGCGAGCAGGCGGCATGCGGTCGGCTCAGGAAGGGCAACTCGAGTGATGCCATGAAGATCTTTGCCGCGTACGTGCAGCACAGGCGGGTCCTGTGAGAGGTTGATGGAAGTATGGCCAGGAAAGGGAAACTTCTGTGTATGTATAAGTATGCATTTAAGTATCCATATGTATATATACATGTATTTCTGCGAGAGAGCTCTTTTATTGCAAAGTATTTCTGAGCCCCTCTAGTGTTTATTTGCAGCGCCAGATGCTAGTTCAGCAAATTTTAGTAATTTCGTGTTATCCGAGGAACATATTTTGCCGGTGTTTGCGCTATCTTCATTCTAATAGTGATTTGCCTGTCTTTCATTTTTGTTTGCCTTGGTTGGATGGATGGTTGCTTTGGATGGATGGTTGCCTTGGATGGGTCGGTCGAGGTGGCTGCTTGCGCTCAACAACCTGCTGAAGCATGCCCAGCCCAACAGCCTGACGGGCCACAGCCTCGCCGCGGCCCTGAGTGCCGCCCGTCGGCTGGATGCATGTTCCATTCCACTGACTAAGTGAAGCTGAAGCGAAGCTATTGAGAGATTGTTTGTTTAACTAGGGGAGCTATAGGTGGAGTGTGGTATGACTATGGCTAGGAAAATAGCATCCCATGCCAACATGTGATCAACATCCTTTATTCTTGATGCCGGATGAAGCAGAACCTGGTTGATTCTGATTGGGGGGTGTCTCCTTTTTGGTGGGGGGGGGGTTATCACTTTGAAGGTCCGAATTCGGGTTCTACTTCGACCCGGAGTAATCCTCATCATGGAGGTACTTCCGCTCATCTTGCGAGTTCCCCACGGGTGCATCCCTCAATCCGCCCCCCTTCTCCCGCTGCAGCTCGTTACGAAAAGGCATCGTTCGGTTGTCAGGGGCCCTTCGGTTTCCAAATTTGGATGCAGCCGTATGCATCAGATGTTCAATCACAGGGCCAAAGTGGAAACTCCTGGGTTGGATTGAGGATTGGGGTAGCCTGGCCTTGCTCAGAATCAGTGGGGGTAGATGAAGGTTAAGGGATAATCCCAACCACAAATTGGTGAAGCCGACTTTTAATTCTTTATATGGTTCTGGGTAGATCCATTTTAATGCCAAGTTTTGATTATGACTCACCTTTGGCTGTTGCACGTGTGGGTTTCGCTCGGCAGAGTTGCGTTTCAATTCTGAGGGCTCCCTGCGCGTTGCAGCATGGAGTAGTGCCCATTGGGGGGTTGGAACGAAAGGCCATTCTGAACTCTGAACCGCCTGACTTCCAAGTGGGTCGCGCGGCTGAGAGGTTCTCGTACTGTGGATGGACGAAATCCTGCACCACCCAAGAAACCCTAGAATGATGATTCCCCTGTAGATACCAACCAACAATGGTTTCCCATGGGTTTCAACTCGGTGCGGGATTTCGTCCATCCACAGTAGGATGGCAGAAGCCACACCTGAAGTCCACATGTTCAACCCAAGAAAGAAAAAGCAGGAGGCATGTGCTTTGTCATAGGTAAATCCAGTGTATATTATATATATATATATATTTGCACCTAGAAGGTATATATATATATGTAGATGTATTGAATTAGTGCCGTGTTCCGTTAAGCCATTTGTCATTGTATTGTTTTATGTGCCTATTAATGCGTGTGTTAATGTGTTTGCTTGTGTATCTATGTGTATCTATGTCCCTTGTTTGGTTTCCAATTAATTGATTGGTTAATTAGTGCACTAACTAATTGATTAGGAAATTGATTAATCAAATTGTGTAACTATCTATTGCTGTTTGTCTATTGTTATGTACTATTCTATTGGTTTCCTTATTTGCTTATGTGTATGCAAGTGTGTGTTGTATTATGTGTTGTTTGCTTGTTTGTTGTGTTTATGTTTGTGTGTTTGTTTGTTTGTTTGTTTGTTTGTTTGCTTGTTTGTTTGTTTGTTTGTTTGTTTGTTTGTTTGTTTGTTTATTTGCTTATGTATTTTGTTAATGTACCTTTTCTTAGTCTATTTACCTGTGTATCTATGTTTGAGTGGCACTCAGTGCCGTCAATTCCAGACTCCGTTTTGTCCAACCAGGCCCTGAAACCCCGTGCCTGCCCAGGCCACCACTGGCGAGAACGATGAGCTTATGCAGAAAGCCCAGTCAAACGAAGCACCTGCCGCGCCGGTCAAAGGAGTTCACTCAAAACAGGCCCCGCCAACTGTTTTACTCCCCCAGTCGCCCGGACTTAAGATAATTTTGGGGAGACCACTCCAGCGGCACGCCAAACAACAATGGAAGTTTGGTTTGGCCAATCGACTCGGGAAGTGAGCTTTGAGGGCTCCCTTTTTGAAGTTGGTTGAAAGGGAAAGCAAGGGGAGACCCGCTCGCGGCCGCGGTTTGTGACACCATCGCCTGTAGTTTGGCATTTTCCGGTTTAGTGATGAAGCAAACGAAACGGGGGGTGCTTGACAACCGGGCCAACTTCAACCATGTTACAAATACACAAAGTGAAAAGGAAAACCCATTGTCCCGTTTTGGCACCAACTTGGTGTATCTCAGCTAGCAGCTGGCATCTCGTCTTGAATTTCCGCCTCTGGACATGGGGTCAGGAAATACGAGTCTGGGGGAGACCACATGTGAAACATGGCAAAAGGGCAGCTTGGGCACCGAGCATGGACACCGTCCATGTGGAAAGCATCCGATCAGCTTTGTGCAATCAGTCCCTGTATGAATGCCGCCCGTCCCCCCCCCCCACTCACTTCCTGAGTTCATGAACTTTAAACTTTTGGGGAATATAAAAAGTTTGGACTTTTTTTGGGCCATCCACTCAGCCAGTGAGCCCAAAAAAAAAGACCTAAGAGAACGGCTGGGAAGTGGTACCGAAGGTTGGGTGCTTCAGCAGTTGACTCCAGCGGCTCTGCGAGGCGATCAGTGATCGAGAGCTACATCCGCATCCTCGGCGGCAACGTGGGGGGCTTTGAGGGGGAAGGGGACGGGTGAGAAGCTGTTGGTTACCGCAGTTTGGGGATTTTGTGGTTCAGGCGGAAACCATTGTTTGCACCCAAAGTTTGCTGGATGGCTGGGTGTTGTGGTTGGATGCATAGGTGTCCTTGTTGGGTTTGCTTAGCTGAAAATAGATGAGTTTCACTGGTTTACCAGGGAAATCCTTCGATTTTTCCACAAGGCCGCTTATGCATGGTTGTTGTTGGGAAGCATCATACTTTTGCTTATTTGGGTTTAGTGGGACGTTCCCACTTAACTGCTAAAACACAAATTTTTGCTCCCCCTCCAACGTCAACCAGGTATGTTGGATGGTGATTCACTGAAGTTAAGGCCATCCAGTGCCTTCCGGCCTTCCTTCCCGAGGTGTCGCGACGTCTCTCAGACGCCACTGCCTTGGCCGCAGCCTCACAGCCGAACCTGGGTGAGTACCGAGTCATGCGCCGGGAACCTTCACTTTGATGCTGTGGATGAACGCAATCCATTTCGCACCACTTGGAAACCATGGGAAACCATTGTCGGTTGGTATTTGCAGGGGAATCATCATTCTAGGGTTTCCCATCCACAGTACTATAGATGGACGCAGTTTTTTGTTCGCGCCACGAAATGAAACCACGTTTGAAACGATAACTTTATTCGTTGGTTTCTTCCCCAACAGCTGAAAGCTTTGGGGTCTCAGGAGGTTCCACGAGGGTTCCGCCAGGGTTCCACCAGGGTTCCACCAGGGTTCACCAGGGTGGAAGGTTGCACCAAGGTTCCACCAAGGTTCCACCAAGGTTCCACGAGGGATTTGCGAGGGCTGTGAGGTGGTGCGCAGCATAACAAAGAGCACCGCATGCTGTTGGGGATATCACCTGAGCTTTTTTTTTTAGGGGCGAATCCTCAAAAACCATGGTTTCTCAGGTGGTGCGAAACGGATTTCGTCGATCCTCAGTACGGACCATGGAAGTGGTCACTGCAAAGTCTCAGGTCACATGTCCTGTTCGGTTCGCCGGCAGTCCAGCTACCCCCCAGCTGTTGAACCCCCTTATGAAAGTGCCAGGCGAGTTTTTGGAGGGATGGTGATGCGATGGTTGCGATCATGCAAGGCTGACTCAGCCCACCCTTCATAAAGAGTTTAAAGTCTGCATCCATCCAGAAACAAGGGCCTAAAGGGGGGGTCTTAATTGAAGTTAGTCGAAGCCTGCGTCGCCATCCCGCTGGAAGGTTTGAGTGCCGTCCCAATGAAAACGACCCTTGTTGGATGGGGTAAATGGAAGCTTTGCAGGAAGTCAAGTTGCGGTGCTTAAACACACACACACACACCACACACACACACACACCCACCCACCCACCCACGCACGCACGCACGCACGCACGCACGCACGCACGCACGCACGCACGCACGCACGCACGCACGCACGCACGCGCACGCGCGCACGCACGCACACGCACACGCACACGCACACGCACACGCACACGCACACGCACACGCCACACACACACACCACACACACACACACACACACACACACACACACACACCACACACACACACACACACACACACACACACACACACACACACACACACACACACACACACATACACACACACACACACACCTAGGGCTCAATTCCTTGACACAACCTCGCCCTGGCAGAGGTGACATTGGGTCCCAGGATTTTTGATGGGAGGCCCGTCAAGGAGAGCCCAAAGATGAAGGAGGCAGGAGGGTAGCTTGGTGGGCATCGGTGTTTCGAGTCAGCTTGCTTCAAACAGATGGCACGGGTTCCAACCATGTACCAGGGCCATAACAAAAAGGGGTGGCGTTTGTTTGCTGCGCATGGCGGTTGTTGGCATTGTTATGCGAATGGCACTTCATCTCCTTCCAAGGGGCAGAGCGTAACTTCAAAACGGAGTCCGTCACCACTTTCCTGTTGATGTGGTGCTTAGGGCAGTCGAACACAGAGGGGGCTGTCTGCATACTCCGCTCCAATATTTGAAGACCTGGTCAGTTTACCGCGGGTTCGGCAGGAGAAGTGTAGTGCTTTGAGTCAAGGCTGGGCCCAACGGGAGGCCCCCCCCCCCGCGGCCAGGTGGCCTTTTGATGGGTCAGCTCGGTTGAAACTCCATGGGGTCTACTTAAAGGGGCGATTGGGTACTTAGTAAGCGGTTAGCAACCATGGTTATAACCCCTTTGGTGCATGTTGCTTGGCTGTTAGGACTTTAACTTTTTGCCAACTAATGGGTTTTCCACTAAACCACTAAAAGTTAAACTTTTAGCAGGGGAGCAGAGAGCAACCGAGACCCACTTACCATGGTTACAAGTCTCCTAAGTGGGTATAACCATGGTTACTAACGGCTTACTAAGTACCCTGCCCCTTGGTACTGGTTGCAGCTTGGTTCCAATCCATTTTTGCCAAGAGGACTCCGAAGTTCCTCTGGCTCTCCAGGTTTGTTCCAGGTCTGGCTTGATTGAGTTCCATGTCTTTGAAAGTTCGTTATGAGTAGCGGCCATATATAGAGCAACACGCCATGCAGCGACGCATTTTTCGTCACATATGACTTCTATGCTTGCTTACCATGGCTTCATTGCTGGCCCCCTTTGGTTAGTCCACGGCGATGCCCGTGAAACCGCAAATACCGGTGGCCATCGTGGGTCCAAAAAAAGAGAAGAATGGTGGGCCGGAAAAAAACGATGGCATGCCTTAAGGAATTCAAGTTTGTGCGACCCTTGACTGCCGACTGGCTACCATGTTTTACTTTGTGCGGGGTGGGGGGTTGTCCATCTCAAAAGTGGGGGCCAGCTACAAGAGGAAGCAACCACCCCCGTGCATTTTTCCCAGCGACACATCTCAAGTAATGTTGACCCCGGATCAATAAACCCCTGTTTATCACTATGGTGGTGTTCCCCTCCAAAAAGTAAAAATAGAAACCACTAAAACCGGGGACACCCCCATATTAACAAACAGGGGTTTATTGATCCAGGCTTTCTCCATGACACTTAAAATATGGGGTCATTACCCAAAGGGGGTTCCATCACCCATTTTTAAAGGATCATGGAGAGTCTAGGTACCCTCAAAAAAATGACGCACCCATATATGCCATATACACCCAGAAATCCAATACGCTCCGAGGTCCCTGCATTTTCCCCAAAAACGCATCTCAGTGACCCCAACCATCCCCGAGCCGGGGAAATCCCCAAGCCAGGCCGCCAGCTCGGGGCTTCCGGTGCTGAGCCTCGAGGATTTGCAGGACTTGGCCAAGGCGCAGCGCTCCGCGGATCGACGGCTACTGTGGGTGGACGAAATCATGTACCACGTTGAAACCACGGTTTCAACCGAAACATTGTTGGTTGGACTTGCAGGGGGGTCATCATTCCAGAGTTTCGTAGGTGGTGCAGAATTGTTCGTCCATCCACAGTATGGCTGTGCTAATTGTGGAGGGAGCAAGCCACCGGGGGGAGAGATGGGTGGAACGGATTTCTGGGATTTAACCTGGGTTTTGGGTCGGGAAGGGGGGGGAAGGGGGGGGAGGCTTCTTTGTTTGGGTTGGGTTGAGGATGCGGCCACTTTGGGTTGCATTTGCTGCTGTTTTTGTGGCGAAAGCCAGTTCTGGCTCTGGACTTTCCTTACTCCTGCGGCCTGAGCACCTTCGGCGGATGACCTTGTTGCGGGGAAAGCAAAATCTATTTGCGGGCGCGGCGTGACAAAGCAAAAACCTTCTGGGAGGTTCGGGTGTGTCTCAACCAGGCTGGCGCCCCCACTGAGCGAGCAACTCGACAAAAGTTTGCCTGAAAGGGGCGACAGAAATTCGGTGCAGCAAAGAGAGGGCCAGATTTGCTGTGCGTGTGTCTGCTGTCGAGTAAAGAAAAGCCAAAAGGACAACCTACCCATTTTGCGGGCCCCGAAAAGAAAACGCACACCTATAGGTGGGTGTGTCTTTCTTGAGGGACCCGTTTTGGGGCTGGTTTAAAGGGAAGCCAAAAGCACAGCACTCATTTGGGGGTCCTGGTTTCTATTTTGAGACAAGCCCGGGCGGTTTCCTTTTGGAAAGGCCACTGGCCAATTCAGCGTCGCATATCGCACCGTTGGACGAGCAGTGAAAGGACCTAGGGACTATCAGCTGTCCTTGGCTTCAATGGGGCATTACATGGGTCTGGGTCAAAATTAAACCACCAGACCACAGGGTTTTAGTCCAAACATATTTTTTTACCTATGACCCAGAGCCGCATGTTCGGCTTGCATTTGCTTGCTGTCGGGGACATTTGCGGGGGATTGAGCAGGACAGAAGTTGCAGCTGTCACTTTAATGCAGGGAACGGGGAGTCGCCCTCTTGTAGCCACCTCATTTTCAGTTTTTTCTACTGGTTGATTCCCCATTTTTTCAACCATCGTTCTTTTCAGAAACCAGCTGTTTCCCAGGGTTTTGGGTGGTTGTTTAGAAAGAAGGATGGGCACCTGGAAAGAATGGGGAAGGTACCCCTAGAATTTTGCTTTGCCCCAGCTCCTTGCCCTTGGACCCTAGGACGCTCCTGGCTTCGCTTAGCCCAAGCCCGTCACTTCGGGGACCGGAAGTGTGCATGGTCGCCATTCCGAGGTGGCTCGAATGAGAGCGGCGCATGACACAAAAAAAGACGGAAACCCGTCAAGGCAGGCAGGCGCGAAATGAACTGCCTGCACAACATGCTTCATGTGAAGACGGAATTCGAGCTTCAGCATTGCGGTTGGAATCAATGGAGGCTTGTGCAAACTTGGAGATGGTAATCTCCTGAAATCATAGCAAATAGCTCCCCTCTCATACAGAAAGCCCAGGTCCCATACTTCCAATTCAGTTTGCGTTTGAACATCTGAAACGGTTAGTTTCCTTCAATCTGCCTTGAAATCCAACCCACCTGATATTCTACAAAGACACTGTAAGCCTTAAGAAAACACAAACAAACATTAAGAACAAAAAAACACATGCAGCACCCCCAAGCCACTCAGACTCACGCGCGGCGCTGGCTTGCACTTCGAATGCGGGCGCGGGTCCAATGGTGCCATGGGCGAGGACGATCCAGATGGTCCTTCGCTTTGTAAGTTGGGTTACGGCCCACGGTGAGGGTCTGACACGTGCGTCTTTTTTTTGTGTGGGGGGGGGGTGGACAATTGAACAAGTGAGCAACAAATGCGACACTCATGCAATGTAAGTGGAAGGTGATATAGTGTTTTGTCAGTTGGGAGGGGTTGAGAGTTTGCGCCAGTTGCCTTCGTTGGGTTGATTCGGGTAGACACAGGAAATGACTTACAGTATTTGCGGCTTGCTTACGATGAAAATAATCATGCTATTTGCAACCCAGAGACGTCTCCGATCAGGAGTCCTCCGATGGGTCGGACTCTGCGGGGGAGCCTGGGAGACGATGGCCGGAAGTTGGTTGGATCCCTAGGCTCAAGGGACAGCGAGGGTCCTTTGCCATAGCTCTGGGGCCACAGCTCCTCACCGTGCCTAAGGGTTATCAAAGTCAGAGACCGGGGTGGTTTCCCTTTAACCCACCGCTTCGGGGGGTGCCTTTGAGAATGGTAAAATAATGAGGCCAGCAACTCGCGGTGGTGTTTTTCGGGGCGAATCAGCGGAGCACTCCGCTCCGTAGTTTGCCAGGAGCATCAACTGAGCTGGCCTTTCGGCCAGAGTTGACCCAGGGGAAGCCTTGCCTCACTTCCTGAGTTGGTGGACTTCAAACTTTTTGGAAAGACCATTTTGGTGGCAAATAAAAAGTTCAAACTTTTTTGGGCTAGTCAACTTGGGAAGTGAGTTGCTGCATCCGCCAAGTGCAAATCCGCCAGTTGACAACTAATTGTGATGCATTTCAGCATCTGCAGATCCATGAGCTAGAATCTGGTTGCCAACATAGGCTTGTTCGTCTCTGGCAGTTTTTGCTTGAAGCTGCGCCTCAATTTAATCTGTTTGATCAATGCCCAATTTCGCCCAAGCTTGCGCCCTCTAGACGACCTCGTGACTCAACTCCATGTACCTGGCCGTTTGAATGTTGCAATGGGCCGTGCTTATCGCACACCTTTCGCGAGCACGTTCGGTCTCTCGAGTCTTCTTTTGGAGTTACGCACGTCTGGATTTTCGACGAAACGCCCAGGTTGAAGTTAAGCAGCGGTCGACCGTGATCGCCTTGGCCCCGGATGGAGTTCAAGCCTAGGGCGACCTTTATGGCTCAGTGCTTTGGTGGTGACGCTTTCTATTCTTGATTGGGGGCTGGTGGTGGGCTAATTGCTGGGTGGCTGGGTTGGTTGGTGACGATTAGTGTTTTCCTTGCTCGCAAGCAACTTCAGAGACCGACAGTGTCTTCAGAACGGATGTGGAGGTGAATTATTTGGGGGCGGGGTCCCTTGCAACATCAACCATTGGTCCAAACTTGCCCACGTAAGTCGGATCCTCTTCGTGAAATTGCCGGGACGTCCGAGCTTGGCACTTCGTCTCATAAACTTCCAGCTTTGCTATGTTTCTTGGAGAGCTGAATTTCATCTCCGACCCTTGCTTGAACACAGCATGCATGGCTGGACTGTCTGTCCAAATGCTGCATCCCCTTTGCAATGGTCCCGGGCAAATTGAAACGGAAACCGACAAGGGGGCCCACATGGGCCCAATTTGCCCAAAGGAGGCTAATTACTCTCAAAAGGACTTCTTTTTTTGCGTTTCATGTTGATTTGCGAGGGGGTGGTAATTTTAAGATAACATCTTCAGCACACGGCTTCAGTTCACTCCCTCCGCATTTGCATTTGCCTGAGGCACGGCGTGTGTCCAGCGATGGCGACAGCAGCGACAGCAGCGCTTTGGTGCAGCGGGCTGTGGATCAGGCATCGGTGTCCACCCGGGTGATTTCGACTCGCTGGTGCTGCTTTGTGCCCAGCTAATCGAAAAGAAAAGGGGCATGACTAACAAACACAAGGAGCAATGAGGAACATGTTGCCTTTAGACAGAGGATGAGCTTCTGTGTAATCGGGGGGGCTCGGAAAGAATGGTGGAACTCAATTTGCTGCGGGCCGAAAATTGGGAACACGCTGATAGAAATGCGTGCTGCTAGGGGCTTGTCGTGGGCTCGTTATCACCGGCAAATATTCTAACCGATGCCAGTACAAGGATTCATGACCTTGGCCCACAAGGCAGTGTCAGTGATTGGAAGCGGTTGCTATGCGAGGTGCTCCCTACCAAGAGGCAGTGCTGCCAAAAAAGTTTTTGTTTTTTTTACTTGACTGCTGTTGGGTTGGATCTTTAGGCTTTAACTTTTTTTGGGAAATCAAGGGGTGTTCCACTAAACCCCCAAAAGGTTAAACTTTTTGCAGAGAGATCAGCAGCAACCAAGCTTAGGAGTGGGGGGATGCTTGTTCCGCTTTGTAGCTGACGAGTTGTGAAGCAAACAATACGCAAGGAACTTCTCCGAAGAGTCTCAGCGACAATGCCTTGTTCTTCAGCAGCCAACGGTCAGTTTTGACAAGTTCCAACTCAAAGAATTAGGATTGTTGTTTGTATGGCCAACGAAGCGCTGGGAATTGACACACTTGACACGCATATACGGTCGATCGGTATGTTAAGAAATCCGCGTGATTTGACCAGGGCCTGGAGTATTTCTTAAGCGCTTGATGGGGAATAAGAAATGGTGGTGTCAATCCAGAGTCGTGACCGTATTTTTCTTTTTGGTAGATTTGGGTAAGTTGAATTGGTAGGTTCGATGAGTTCGTGTATATCATTTAGTTGATAGAAGACTACGGTATAATATGGACCCCCGTCGTTTCCCGTAGTCTTCCCGCAGTCTTCCCAGTAATCTTCCCATAGTGTAGTTTTCCCGTAGCCTTCCCATAGTCTTCCCGTAGTCTTCCCGTAGCCCGTGCCAAGTCCAGATGCGTTTTCCCGGCCCGGGAAAACGCATCTGACCCGTAGTCTTCTCGTAGTCTTCCCGTAGTCTGTTCGTGACTTCCCGTAGTCTTCACGTACCCCGTGCCAAGTCCAGATTTCCCGGCCCGGGAAAACGCATCTGGAGCGCCGTGGTCCTTCCCGTAGTTATCCCGTAGTCTTCCCATATCTTCCCGCGTAGTCTTCCCAAGTCCAGATACGTTTTCCTGGGCTGGGAAAGCGCATCTGGAGCCTTGTGGTCCTTCCCATAGCGGTCTTTCCGTAGCTAGGTCCCCCAGTAGTGGCCTTTTACCTTTTTTGGGGGGAGGGTTCCCTTTACTAAAATAGGCTACAGAAAAAAGGGTTCCCTTATTCTAATTCTAACCTCTTTAGTGGAGGACCTAGCTAGTCTTCTCCTAGTCTTCCCGTCTTCCCGTAGCCCAAGTCCAGATGCGTTTTCCCTGCTCGGGAAAACGCACTTACCCACAACGACACCACCGAAGTGCTGCCCAGTCGCGTCGTAAGGGACCTTGACAAGCAAAGAGAGTGTTTTAGAGCTTTTCAAGGGTGTGGCCGGGCCCAGATGCATTTTTTCGGGCTCGGGAAAACGCATCTACCCACAACGACACCCTCGAAGTAAGCAAAGAGAGTGTCTTAAAGCTTTTCCAAGGTATGGCCGGGCCCTTCAGGCTCGGGAAAACGCACTTACCCACAACGACACCAGCGAAGTGCTGCCCAGTCGCGTCGTAAGGGACCTTGACAAGCAAAGAGAGAGTTTTAGAGCTTTTCAAGGGTGTGGCCGGGCCCAGATGCATTTTTCGGGCTCGGCAAAACGCATCTACCCACAACGACACCCTCGAAGTAAGCAAAGAGCGTGTCTTAAAGCTTTTCCAAATGTATGGCCGGGCCCTTCGAAACCGCACTTACCCACAACGACGCCACCAAA